CCAGCTCTCTGCTATGGCCTGGGAAAGCAGTAGAAGATGACCCAAGCCCTTGGGCCCCTGCATCTGGGTGGGCGACTTGGAAGAAGCTCCTGACTCCTGACTTTGGATCGGCGCAGCTCTGGCCGTTGTGGCCAACTGGGGAGTAAATCAGCAGATGGAAGACCTCTCTCTCTCTCTCTCTCTCTCTCTCTCTCTGCTTCTGGTTCTTTGTAACTCTGCCTTTCAAATAAATAAATAAATCCTTTTATTTTTTTTAAAGAACCACCTATATGATATGGTATCTGTTCATCTCTGATAATCTTATTTTTATCGTCATTATCTCCATAGGTGTAGAAAAAACTTGTAGCATTTAAGCTATAAGCAAACTATTTTTTGCAGGAGATAGGAGACAATTTCTGCTTTTTAAGAAAGACTTGTATATTTATTTATTTGAAAATCAGAGTTACAGAGAGAGAGAGAGGGAGAGGCAGAGAGAGAGAGAGAGAAAGAAATATCTTCCATCTGCTGGTTCACTCCCCAGATAGCCAAAATGGCCAGAGCTGGACCAGGCCAAAGCTAGGAGCCAGGAGCTTCATCTAGGTCTCCCACTTGGGTGGCAGGGGCCCAAACATTTGGGCCATCTTCTACTACTTTTCCCAGACAATTAGCAGGGAGCTGGATTGGTTGTGGAGCAACCAGAACACGAACTGGTGCCCATATAGGATGAACACAGATCCTTTTTCAGTTCAAAAATACATTTTAAAAGAATTAAATAAAAAGATCTTAGTTATTTAAATATTTTATTTCTTCAATAATGGCCTCAACTATTTTTTCTTTTTATTGCTTACTAATTAGAAATGTATAAAACCAATATTAATTTTTAGTTTAATATAATCACTTAGATAAGTCAAAGAAGTTTGATTTATCTAGCTATTTTCTTTCCACTTTTTCCAAATTTACTATGGGAAGCAATATAAATAAAAATAAAATGTTTAAGGTAGACAAATCGTTATTTAGTATCTCATCTTTTGTTTAAGAGGTTAATATGCTGTGGTTTTAAAGGACTTCCCCACAGTATTTATGATTCTTTTGTCCCAACTGGAAACGGAGTCACCACTATCTAGTCTCCTGTGAGATGGCTGTTTTTTCAGTGGTACTGATCAGGATCGCTAAACATACAGTGCACACAGGAGTCCCGGGGACGGCGTGAGCTGCTGCCTCCCATTCTTCCAGTCACTTTTCTCCCAAGCCAAGATCTTTGCTTTACGCTACGCTCCCAAGGCTGTGTCACCTCCCCCTCTTCTGCTCCTCGTTTCCTAATTGCATTTTTAGATTGTGCGATTGTATTTGTCTTTTGTATACATAAATATACAAACTATTTTAAAATAAATTTCATTTTGACTGATCTATGCTATGCATTAGAATTGGATGGTACTGAGAGGTCACAGGCCTTTTCAACATCCCTGGAAATGAAGGAATTACTTAGTGACCATGTCCCTTTGATGAGGTTCGTGCTCAACTTGGAAATAGCTTAGCTTTCACCTCCTTCTGCCAAATGCTGTGAAGAATGTAGTGTAAGTAAGATCTGGAAATCTGAGGTTTATTTTTCTTTAAAAATGTAAACTTGGTGTTAGTATTTTTTAGACAATTATGAGCTAACATCTAAGGGCTTTGGTTTTAGTTTTTCTTTCTTTTTCTTTCTTTTTTTTTTCCCCCCTGCTGATTAGGGATTCCTCAGTGGTGATTAGCAAATGTACAAATGCAATCATTTGCTAGGGCTTAATCACTCATATGATAGAGAAGTTAGTTACCCAGAAAGCAAAATTGAAGCTTGTATAACTCCCATTAGCCTTATTTTTTAATGGCAAAAAATAAGATTTTTTTTTACTAAATTAGGAATATTGAGCCTTAGGAGATAAGTTGCAGATTAAAAGAAATCGAGAACCTGGGCAAATACATTTGTATGAACCTATTGCTACACTGCATATTATGTTGTATTTAAAGTAGGTAGCTTGTGAACAGTTATCTCTTGGTTATGGTGTCAGGGCAGATTTCCCTCAGAGAGATAGAGTAGGAAGTGCTCCCTAGACAGGAACACATCCTTCCTTCTTTGCATGGGGTGGCTGAGCCCCTGCAGTTACAGCAGGAGCAAAGGACAGGGTGCACCTCTTTCCCCAGGCTTACTGTATTACTCAAAGTAGTTCAGAAGAAGACAGATTTAAGACTCAATTTTTTTTCTTTGTACACAGGCTGTATGAAGCAAGGAGATAGAGGAATGCATGCATTCTGAACCCCCTTCTGTTGAGATGGGTAATAGGAGCCAGGTCCTGACTGAGGGAGGCTGGGGAGTTGGTATGGGCTCCTTGGCATGATGAACTAGGGACGTCAAGCCAAGTGCACTGTAGGGAGCCCAGGCCTTGTTAGGTCCAGGGGTTGCTCTTCAAATGTGTAGGTCAAAAGATTGGCTCTGTAGGCCTCCCTAGAGGACCAGCTTCTAGAGATTATTTGATGATAATCAAATTCCCAACTGCTGTTATATAAACCGCGGCACCTACACCAGCCTTCCAGTCTTCTTCCAAGTTTTCACTCTTAGGATGACCAGCCGTCCCAAGTGGCCCAAGAATGTTCCAGCACCACTGTGGTTCTGTATTCAGGAAAAGCCCTCCGTCTTGGGGCAAGCCTCCCATGGGGTCAGTCACCGTTGGTCTCCCATGGTGCTGGAGGAGGGCCACGTCTTCTCGCTGCTGCTGAGCGCAGCCTGTGCGCTGGAGTGTGGGTGATCAACGGTCCTTAATCTGCATGGTTTACAGTCCTCACTGCAGTTTCAGGGAGGAAAGATGTGGCTGCTTCTCGGGTGTGGCCACACATTACTATTCTGGTTATCTCCTACCGTACAACAAATGACTGCAAAATTCAGAGGCTTCAAATATAACATTATTTTATTATCTCTCCTGGCTTCTGTGGGTCCGGGATTTGAGGAAGGCTCAACTGGCAGTTCTGGCTCCCTCTGTATGACAGTAGCCAGGGATTGGTCAATCTCTTTGTTCACGTCATCTCAGTGTCTCTCCAGGGCCTCTCTCCAAATGCCTCATTTTAGCTTTCTAACAGCATAGCGGCCCCTAGGCTGCAGGATGCTTCTCTGACACTTCAGGGTTCCACAGCAAATATTCTAGCCAGTAGGAAGCAGCTGCCTCAAATGTCCTGTAGGATATTACTACACAGCATCTTTTCTACCGTAGTCCCAAGAGCCAGAGGCTGTGACACAGACCTCACTTCTTGTTGGCTGGAATTTCAACATCACACTGTAAGAAGAACATATTGGGATGAAGAGATTAGTGCAGCTATCTTTGCAAAATACAATCCATCACAATTGCGGTGGCCCCTAAGATGTGAAAAATGCAGAGTGTTTCATTAAACAGTAGTTTTGTTAAAATGTAAATTTTTTCTCATTACTTTTCACAATGCAATTTTCATTTTGAATGCAAGCAAAAAGGTCAGTCTGTCCTAAAAACCCTTAGTCACCATTGTCTCTAGGACGGTTCTCTCTCTCTCTTCCTACCTACCTACCTGCCTATATATCTCTACCACAAACCCCTGAAAATCCGACTTAGCGAGATAAGTATAGCAAAAGCTCATTTGCTGAGGCAGTGGGCGTGGGGGGGGCAGGTATTTGTGTGCACATATGCATGCTGGGACAGGGGTGGAAAGAAAGGAGTAATGGGGGAGCAAAAAGTGCATTAGTGGCACAGGATGGCTTGGTGGAAGAAGCTGAAAACATTGATGGCTAAAGAGGGAACTAGGGACAAAGGCAGTGGCAGCTGTTTAGAAGTGAAGAGCAGGGGTCGGTGCTGTGGCGCAGTGGGTTAATGCCCTGGCCTGAAGCACTGGCATCCCATGTGGGTGCAGGTTTAAGACCCGGCTGCTCCACTTCTGGTCCAGCTCTCTGCTATGGCCTGGGAAAGCAGTAAAATATGGCCCAAGTCCTTGGGCCTCTGTACCTATGTGGGAGACCCAGAGGAGGCTCCTGGCTCCTGGCTTTGGATCGGTGCAGCTCTGGCCGTTGTGGCCATCTGGGGAGTGAACCATAGGATGGAATACCTCTCTCTCTCTCTCTCTCTCTCTCTCTCTCTCCTCTCTCTGTGTAACTCTGACTTTCAAATAAATCTTAAAAAAAAAAAAAAAGTGGAGGGCAGGCAAGGTGTCTGCAGCATCATTTTAGAACAGCCACTTGTTCAGGGTGTGGATACCAGTGTCCTGGCTCAGTCCTCTTAGACTGTGTCTCGCTCGCTGTCAGGGTGCTGAAGACCCAGGAGCGATTCTTTCTGGTAGTCTCCAGATTCTCATTCCAGGTAATGAGATTGGACTATGTAAGAAAATAATGATGCAGTTATTTGGGAGATTTTCTGTCAACACTAATTCAGTAAAGTTCAGAAAAGCATGATATAAATCTTAATTAAAAAAAAAGATTTATTTATTTGAAAGAGTTACACAGAGAGGGAGAAGGAGAGGGATTGGGAGAGAGAGAGAGAGAGAGAGAGAGAATGAATCTAATCTACCTTCCATCCTCTGGTTCACTCCCCAAATTGGGGCTGGGCCAGGCCAAAGCCAGGAGCCAGGACCCAAGAGCTACATACAGGTCTCCCACACGGGTTGGCAGGATCCCAACATTTGGGCCATCTTCCACTGTTTTCCCAGGCCATTAGCAGGGAGCTAGATCATAAGTGGAGTAGCCAGGACACGAACCAGCACCCATATGGGATGCTAGAGTCACAGGCAGTAGTTTACCTGCTATGCTACAACACTGGCCTCAAATCTTAATTTTTTTAAACTTATATTCCATTGGCTTGATATATGTCTCATCTCACAACTTCAATTTTATGTATCTCACGTGAGTTCTGTTGTTTTGTTCCAATCTCACTGCATTATTCTATTGAAGGAAATTTTCAAGAAATTTAAAAAAAACAGAAAGAATTATTATTCTGAGCCACTATTATTGAAAAGACTTTGTGTTTGGATTGTAGGAATACTGTAACACGGTCCAGCTAGATTCTGGAGTAGATTACCGAAAAAGGGACCTCCCTTCTGCAGGAAAACTCTACTACCTGTAAGTAGCTTTTCTTGTCTTTTTCTTTTTTTTTTTTTAATGTTCTAAGTTTAACATTTGATAATTAATCAGGAAAAGGTGAGAAAAAATGAGTTTAATTATTGGAATGTGAAAGCCTAGTTCTGAAGCATGTGGTTTTTAAACTACAAAATGTTGTGATGTTAACTTGGTTAAGCTGTGTTTCACTATCCATATTTGCATCATTTGTAATGTGTGATTGGATGAAAACCTAATTAGTTTTTTGGGGAGGAGTGATGACAGATGGTTAGAAAGTAATGAGTAGCCTCACAAGAGCCTCTAATATTAAAAGAATATCTTTAATGTGATAAAGTAATTAATTATTTGTGGACATCTTCTAATAAGTGTGCCATTTCTAGTTTTCCAAAATTGGTTTATTTTGTCAGGCAATCTGTTTGTATTTATCATTGTTGATTGACTTTCATAAGGAACGAATGTAAGATATATAGCATATACAAATACAACTGGATATAAGGATTCTGCTGAGTGGGAGCCATTTATAATAATAGACGCATTCAGTTAATGGTGAAAAACAAAAATAGTTTGCTGTAAAGTGTCATTTGTGAGAACCTGAGAAGGAAAAAAGTGCTTTGCAGAGCAAACTGTTGTTTCGTCTGTGCCAGCAGTGCTTGGCACGTGGTGGGTTCTCAGTACACAGACCTGTCCAAGGGCTAATTGTAATTTAGCTAAAAGGCATGTTTCCGGTAATTTAAATTTTGATGACAACGTGCATGTGAGAGGCTCAGAAAAGTTCTTGTCTCTGCCACCTTGTAAGCAGAAGCACTTTACTGTTTTTGAAGCAGAAATTAGCTAGAAAAATCACATAATTAGAATTGCCTACTTTACAATGCACCAAGGGGACTATTTCAGTTTATTATTCAGATTCTGATGATTATTATAGGAGCTTCTTCATCTACCCTTAAGTACTTTGTCTTTAAAGTACTTTGTAATTTAAAAAAATTCTCACACCACTTGTTTCTCCTGCTTTAACTTGGACTTTTTTTTCTCAGTTTCTTTTATGTTGGTGTTTTCTGCTTTTTTTTTTTTTCTTCTGATATTGGAAACCTTCCCCTGACTTTTATTTCTTGATATTCCAGGTATGTAGTATCTAGAAATGAATTAGTATTATTCTCTAGATCCTTTATTTCTTGGTCCTTGTCTTCCCACAAAGTGTCTCCTTTGTGGAAGAATTACAGCATCTTCCTAGTGAGAAGGTCCCTCAGGAGAGATAGGAGCCTGGGTCTACATCACAGCCAAAGCAGTGGGAGGATTTCCTGGAGATGGAAAGGGTGCTTGGACTTGGCCCACAGCCCTTGTTCTTCCCTCTCTGACTTGCCTTGTGTTACTCTTTTCTCTTCCTGATGAAAGTAGCACAATCCTGGGGCGGACATTTGGCCTGATGGTTCAGAAACCCAGGTCCCACACTGGAGAACATGGGTTTGATCCCTGGCACCAGCTCGTGCTAATGTGGACCCCGGGAGGCAGTGGTGATGGTTCAAAAATTGGGTTGTTGCCACTCATGTGGGAGGCCTCGACTGAGTTCCTGGCTCCCAGCTGCAGCCTGCCCAGCCCCAGCTATTGCAGGCCTTTGGGGAATGAACCAGCAGACGGAAGATCTCTTCTTCTCACTGTCTCTCCTCTTCTGTCACTGTGCTCAAATAAATTATTAAAAAGTTTCCCGAGACCATGTTAATATTTCAGGTTTAATTTTCTTTTTATCTTGCTCGAATAGGAAAACTTAATTCCCCCCGTCATAGACCTTAATGTGTTATGCTATTTATTACCCTATGTTTTAACATATATTTCTCTTTGTTCCCTTCTTGTGGGGAGCAACCCGGACTAGACTAAGTTACTGGAATTAAGACTTATTCTATGCATCTGCTCTCCCACAATATGGTGCTGAGAAGGGAGAAACAGCTTCTACACAGCTGCCTCCAGTTCAACCAATAGACTGTGGGACCTGCTCCTGATTGGAGGAGAGCAGCGTACTCGGCGTGTGGGTAGCAGAGTTGGGATTGGCGGAGGAGGACTATATAGGAGGAGAGAGACGGCATGCACAAGGAACATCTAAGGGGAACACCTGTGCAGCCCCCGAGAGAGCCGGCCGGCGGTGTGCCGCTCCCCCGCGGAAGTGGGGAATGTGGCAGGGGGAACTGCCCTTCCACGGAGGTGGAAGGGTCGGGAGCCAACCCGGGAAGAACCAGCAGCAAACCCGGGGAGGGCCGAGCAGACGAAAGAACAGCGCAGGGTCCTGTGTCGTTCCTCCACGAAGAGGGGGAGCGACATAATGGTGCCGTGACTCGGATATGAAGCCTAGGCAGGGTTCAGTGTCGTTCCTCCACGAAGACGGGGAGCGACACCTTCTGACCCAGTATCTGCAATTGGTTCATGAATATGCGAGTCCATACTGTCCCCTTGTCAATTTCACTGGAACCTGAAAAGAAAAAACAAAATTCTAGCTTCCTTCCAAGCACACTGTCTCAGAATTTCCTATAGGTAGAATCTCATATATAACTTTTAACTAAGTAGAAATATTCATTACCTCTGTAATTTATTAGTCTAACTTTCCAGAAGCCAATGAAAAATGTCCAAAAATGCAATCCAAATGATAACAAGGACTCCTGGAGATTTTAAAAACTACCCCAATGTTTATATGGAACAATCTATAGTTCATAATATTATTTGGGTTCCACAAGAAGTAATTCATATAAGGCATTGCATATCTGGGGGCCAGCACTGAAGCATAGTAGGTTAAGCCTCTGCCTGGGGTGCCGGCAGCCCATATGGGTGCCAGTTTGAGTCCAAGCTGCTCCACTTCCCATCCAGCTCCCTGCTAATAGGCTGGGAAAGCAATAGAAGATGGTCCAAGTGCTTGGGCCCCTGCACCCACATGGGAGACCTGGAAGAAGCTCCTGGCTCCTGACTTTGGATCAGTCCAACTCTGGCCATTGTGGCCATTTGGGGAGTGAACCAATGAATGGAAGACCCCTCCCTCCCTTCCTCCCTTCCTCTCTCTGTAACTCTGCCTCTCAAATAAATAAATATTTAAACAAAAGACATTGCTTATTTATATGTAATTTATTATTATTATTATTATTATTATTACTACTACTACTGAGTAGTAGATTAACAGAGAGACAGAAAGCTTCTATCTGCTGATTCACTCCCCGAATGCCCTCAATGGCCAAGCTTGGGCTGGGCTAAGCTGGGAGCCAGAAATTCAATCCAGGTCTCCTATGTGAGTGGCAAGAAGCCAATTACTTGAGCCATCCTCCCTGTCCCCCAGGGTCTGCATCAGCAGGAAGCTGGATTCAGGACTGGAGCTGGGAATTGAACCCAGGTACCTGATGTGGGATATGGGCTATCTAACTATCATTTTAAATGCTAGGCTAAACACTCTCCCCTAGTTGTAGCTTCATATCACATTAAATATAGAAACACTAGAGCACTTTTGTAAGTTCCAGATGTATTTGGCCCATCTCAAGAAATTTTGGGGCCAGTGTTGTTGCATAGCAGGTCAACTACTGCCTGTGACGCCAGCATCCCATATGGCTGCTGGGTTGAGTCCCAGCTGCTCCACTTCTGATCCAGCTCCCTGCTAATGTGCCTGGGAAAGTAGTGGGAGAAGGCCCAAATCTTTGGGCCCTTGCACCCGTGTGGGAAACTCGAATGAAGCTCCTGGCTGCTGGTTTCAGCCTGGCCCTGCCCCTCCATTACAGTCATTTGGGGAAAGAACCAGTGGATAAAAGACCTCTCTCTCTCTCTGTTTCTCTCTCTCTGTTTCTGTAACTCTGCCTTTCAAATAAAGTAAATAAATCTTTAAAAAAAGAAAAGTTTCAACTCTCATATATAGCACAGAATTTAAATTTAGCAAGTTACAAGCCACAGAGAGCTTGAACACAAATATCCAAAGTGTTGCACAGATTAAAATATCCCGTGGTTGTCCAGTTTTTCATTCTGTGGCAGCTGCATGATCAGCTGAGACAAGTACAGGCAGTTTCTTCCTGGTTGCATGGTGGATAGGGCCCAGTGAGATCCCTGTGGAATGTGGTTTGCCAAAATCCAAACATGTCACTCTCAGCCCAGCACTGAGCCGCAAGTTTGCATCTGGTTTGCTTCCGGGACCAGTCCAGTTGGCGCCCTCCCATCCGTGCCTTCAGAGAATCTGACTGCTTCAGGTTTGCTCTCTGCTTGCTGCTGGTGGTGCTAGAGGTTATCGTTTTATGTATGCAATGAGTGTGTCCTTCCAAACAGGAAGCACCACGCCAAGGGCTCCACAGAACGCTGCCCCAGGCCATGTTGGGGCCGTTTTGTCGTCACTTCTGTGAATTGCAACCGCTTTCTTGAGGAGAGGAGTTCAGATCTCCTGGGACTCACCCTGACTCCCCCCGTTTTCCTTTTTCATTCAGGAACTGTGTAGGACAGGTTCTTGTTTTCTGCCAAGTTTGTTGAAGGAACTGGAGTGGGGGGTGTTTCCCATTCAGATACCTTATCTCCACCACACTCACATACAAACACCCCGCCCTCCACACAGACACTGCACCCTCCAGGGAAGATTTTTAGCTAAACATTAAGCAGGGGCAAGCATTGGCCCTGGGATTTTATTTTATCCTATTTATGACCTAATGGATTTATCTCTTACTGGTTCCTGGATGCTTGCCGAAAACACAGAGACCTAGGTCAGAGACAAAGGATTTAATTTGTTTTTATTATTTACTTTTGTATTTATTTGAAAGGGAGAGAGAAACACACACACACAGAGAGACAGAGAGAGACAGAGAGAGACAGAGAGAGAGAGAGAGAGAGAGAGAGAGAGAGAAAGCATGCTCTTCCATCTGCTGGTTTACTCCCAAATGTCAGTGATAGCCAGGCCTGGGCCAGGATGAAACTAGAAGCCTGGAACTCCATCCAGGTCTCCACGTGGGTGGCAGGGACCCAAGGACTTAAGTCATCACCTACTGCCTCCCAGTGTGTGCCCTAGC